TCAGGGCGGTTCCTTCGGGGGGGCCCGCAGCGGCTCGGACTCCTCCGTGGGGCCGTCCTGGGTTCTCCGCTCTGCCCTGCTCCGACGTGCGGCCTCCGCTCCTGGCTTACGGTCGGGGGGGCCTCTGGTCCTGCTCCCTCAGAGACCTGCTGCGTGACTAGCAGCCTGAGGGGGATGGAAGCCTGTTGGCAGACGAAGGCATCTGGCTTCGGCCGTTAAAATCTAGGGGCGTGCGACCCCTCATCCCCTCCCCCCACGCGCTGCCTATGGCTGCCAAGCCGGCCTCCAGCGGGGGTGGTACCCGCATTGCTTTTCATCCTCAGCATTGGCGCGGATCCAGGCTGCCCGCTTGGGCAGAGACGGGCTCAGGTCGCACGGAGATTTAAGCTGCTCGCGTGACTCCCTCTGCCGCGGGGCTGGTCTTCTCCTTCTCCCGGGCCTGTCTAACCTCCCCTGCTTCTCTCTTCCCTCCCCCTCCTCCCGCTGGGTCTGCAGGAAGGCCGGCCTCATCCTCTCGCAGCTGGGGGACCTCAGCGGCTGGTGCAGCAGCCTCCTTCAGGAGCCCAAGATCGGCCTCCAGCGCGCGTCGCTGCGCTACCTGGCCTGCCGCTACAGCGAGATCAAGCCCTACGGCCTCAACTGGGCGGAGCTGAGCCGGGACCTCAAGAAGACCTGCGAGGAGCAAGCGCTGAGCGTCCTCTACAACGACTACGGGGACAGGGACAACTGAGGCACGCCGGCGCCAGCGGGCGGGAAGAGCCCTTGTGGGGGCGTCTCCGTGGAAACGGAGGCGCTGGCTGAACTCTCCAAAGCGAGCCCAGGCCGGGAAGGCCGTGCCCAGGACTACGCTCCCAGCAGGCCGCGCGAGCCCCACTTCTTGGTTTGTTTTGCTCGTTTTAGCCAGAGGTTCCCTGGACTGGGGAGGTGAATTCATGCTCTGGAATGACAGATCCACTTGTAACGGTCCCGGCCCTTTCTCCCAACCCCTGCCTCCCCCGTGTGCCCCGCGCAGCATGAGCCTCAGTTTCCAAAGAGAACAAAATAGCAGAAGGGCAGAGAGAGGAGTCTCCGCGCTAGAATTAATAACCCAGCCTCTCCAGTAACGCCAGGCAGCAATATGGCAGACGT